GGCGATGGTGCCGCCGCCTCGTGCCTCTGCGCGCTGGCCGAGTGTCCCGACAACGCCGAGGTTTTCTACCACTGCTGCCGGTTTCTCATGGCTCAGGTGGGCCCAACTTCCTGTTGGCAAAGAAATGCAAGTAGGGCCAGCCCATTCGACCATCTTGGTGATTCATTTGCGCTTATTGCTCAAGACAATTTGTTCATTTATTTCAAGGGTTCGCAAGTTTTTATTGATTTATTTATTTTTTTTAATTGCCATCCTCATAAACACTTGGCTCTCCATATTCCGTTAGAGACTTAAATACAGTATAGAAGCATTAAAAAAATGTAAATAATAAGTCATTTTAATTTGTGTTGCTCATCAAAGTTAAAAAAAAAATCCCCAGATACAGAAAACAGTTTGTAAGGATGAAATTCAAATCCGCAAAATGTATGCAACTTCAAAATTGAATCCAACTTCACCGGAGTTGGCTGGTGATTCTTTGATCTACCACAAGAGGGAGCCCCGGAAGTATCAGGAGAACAAGCAAATCCGCAGAGGAAAAAAAAAGGATTAAGATGAAAAGTGTCATTTTTGTTTTTCTTAGTCAATTTGACGGGCGTGTTGTCTGACAGGACAAGTGGAGCGCCGTCACGCCGCTCTTCCAAGGATTCGTCTCGTCTCTGTGTGAGGAGCCAAGCGCTCACATGGCGCCCGTCGATCTCCTGCGGTGCGTCGCCGCGCCTCGCTCGTTTGTTGGTCCATACGGCGACTCACTCATCGATCTTAACGGCGAGCGTTTGCCCCCCAGGAGTATCCTGGGCCTCCCCACAGATGAGGTGCGGGCGTCGGCCGTCGTCAGGAAAGATCTGCAAGATCGGCTGCTCCAGCAGCGCTCCTTCCTGCATCTGCTTCACTGGTACCGCCCACACGCCAGTCACATGACCTCCGTTTAAGTGCAGATGTTTGCATGCTGGTTGGAAAATGGGATGAAAAGTTTATGTACGTTCTTACGCAACTGAGTCTTAGGTTTGTCATGTGTGTTTGATGAAATCAATCAGAGGATGACCAAGTCGGATGACAACATCTTTCGGAGAAGTGAGAATAGCATCCTGGCCTCCATCTTTGCGCAATTTTCTCAAAATAATGCGGAAATGGGCACTTTAAATGACTCTTTTTGTTCTGTTTTCCACAACAAATCAGTGAGAAAGAATTGTCGTATTCCTCTTGGTCTATTTTGACAGTTTTACTGTTTGACTTGAATTTGAAGGGTTTTTTTTTTATTATTATTATTTTAAGCAGCCCTGCTCAAGGTGACACCACGTGAAAACGTTCCCCAAAATGGTCATTCACTCGGGTTTTTGACAGACTGCCATTTTGGACAAATCCTGTCATGTTGCTGATTGTGGGGAAGATGATGATGATGATGATGATGAGTGTGGTTGGTTGAAGTGATTTGAGGAGTTCACACACATGTGTATCTTTGCAGTCGCTGGCATTGGTTGCGCGGATCGGTGGGGGACACGCTGGACGCCTTCGAGAGGGCGCTGGGCTCGGCCATAACATGCGACGAGCTTCACCGCCTGTGGACTGAGTGATTGCCACCGGTGCCGTCAAACTCTTTTTTTTTTTTCCTGAGTGACAGAACGCGACGTGGATCGCGCCACACACGAAATGCGGCCTCAGGTGCCGCAGTCGACACACACACACACACACGTATGGCTGGAAATGCGCCAGCCGTCTTCGGTGTTCAGAAATAGCTGAATTTGCCGCTGGCCTCAATGAGCGCGAGCCCCCTTTTCTGTCGACAGCTACCTTCAGTTCTGCAGCGCGCACGCGGCCCAGCGTCTGCCCAACTTGATCCTGCGCTGCCTGGGCACCGTGCCCGCCCGGTTGGAGGTGCCCTTTGACCCCACCCACTTCTGGACATCTTATCGCTTCCACAACAAGGTGAGAAAGACTCGGCCGGGCCAGGGTCGGGTTAACCCACGCTCCGAGGCGAGCCGCAGCCTCCGTCAACGACGCGTGACCGCGTTTGTCCTCAGGTGGTGACGCTCTACCTCAGCTGCGTTGACGCATCGCAGCATGCGGCGCTCCTGGAAAGACTGCATTACATGATGCCCGCCAACCTGGCCCTTTCGCTCAGGTATGCCCGCAGCTTTTGTCTCTCCTCGTGCGCGCGCACGCACACACGATGTTGGCTCTACGTGTGCGCCCAGGTTGATGCAGCACGAGTGTTCAGAGGGAAACATGGAGCATGTCCGCTTCCAGGCCAAGATGCTGACCAACAGCGCCCCCAAATGTTTGCCGGCATGGAACGTGTGAGGACATCTTGACGGCGCACGCAACCACGCAAATCGATTGAAATGCACGCCCCGCCACAGATACACTCCCGCACCCGTCCGACTGACGTCGTCTGTTTCCTTGCAGAGCCATCGCAGCGGAGGCGGAGCTAAGGCAGCCGGCAGAGGTGAGCCGCTAATGAGTCAGTGACGCTAACGCTGCTCATGGCATCGCAGCGTTCTCCCTCCGTCCCGTAACATTTGTCTCTGTGGCGACGGAAAAGAGCCAAGCGTCCCCGCCGTAAACACGTGAAGCTTTTTGTGTTGATGAGCGCGGTTTGCTTCAGGCTGAGCGCGAGCCGCCCTGAACTCCGCCCGCCTTTGTCCTTCCTCATCTCCACTTTGTGGTCTTCCTCGCGTGTGCTTTTGTGTTTTGCAGGCTCGTCGTACGGTCCAGCAAGCGCTCCAGCATCTTCCGCTCTGCGCCCAACTCTGGAAACATGTAAATCACACACAAGCTAGGCTACAGGCTAACAGGAAGCAGCCGCTCCCATTATATCGAATGACTCGGGTTCACCTGTCACCCCTCCCCCACCCGCTTGCACCCAACCGCACTCCCGCGCCTTCCTTCTGTGGCGCGTCTCCTAATTCCTCCCTCGCGTCCCTCAACTTCCTGCTACCCCGCCGCCCCGCCAATTCAATATCTTTCCACTTCCTGCCTCCCCTCCATCTCATTCCCGCTTCCCGCCCTCTTCTGTGTCCCCCTTCTTCCCGCTCCCCACAGCTTCTGCAGTGGGAGGCGTGCGTCGGCAGCGCAGGCGCCATGGAGCGTGCATGCCGCATGCTGTCCCGCAGCGAAGAGGCAGGCGTGACATTAGTCGAGCCAGTCGCCACCGCTCAGACGGACGCCGTCTGATTGGCGGACGTCGGTTGACGCGTGAGGGCGGCGATACTTTGAGTCAGAAAGTTGAGAGCAAAAAGCGGCGCCTCCTCCTGGTGTACGTAAGTATGTCTGCTGAGTGACGTTTGCTTTGTCTCACTTGCTCTCTTTTCCCTGGGGGGGGGGTCCGAAAGACGTTTTTCGCCATTTTTTTTTTCTTTTGTGCGGAAGAAAGCAGACTTTTATTTTGTTAACTTCTGAGAAACAAAGACACTGCCACATGTTTGGCCTTAGCCACATCTCAGCGAAGCCGCAGGAAGTGACAAACGCTGGACACCAAACGGCTCATTTGCAAATTTGTCTTTTTTTTTTTTTTGTCTTTTTTTTTGTGATTAAAAGCCTTGGTCATCAGTGAATGTTTTTCTAAATATATATTAAATTATTTTATCAACACAAACACGACTTGTCTCTCTGGTCTTTTTTTTTGACTGAACAGGAAGCGGCATCTCGAAAGGCCCCCCAAGGCCTTTGGACACCTCTGCTCTCGCCCGCAAAAATCAAGCTCACCCCAAGCCGAGCCGAGCCTAATAATAATTCCAAAGAATCACAAGTTCTCTTGCTCCGGAATCATCAGCCCAACCCATGCAAACGTTAACAATTTCATGAGGGAAAAGCCCCAAAAATACATCCTGCTTTTCTGCAGAACAACCCTCACGTTGAATATCAAAGTCCCACTCTGGGGGCTTTTCTTTCACTATTTGATGATTTGGACATTTTAAATGGCAGAACGCGTTATTTCAGATTGTGCACCTTACTCAAGACATTCCATAATGTGTGTACGTGAGCGAGCGTGAGAAGGTCAGGACATTGGTGTGGCCCAGGACAGGATGCGGCGGGGCGGGGAGGGAAACGGGAGGCTGCTTTGAGGGTTGCTGTTTGCTTGTTGAAGCGTCATAGAAATGGAAAAAAAAAATCCATTCCAATCAATAGAGTACAAACCAAAATAGAAATGTGACTTGTTAGAAGTTGCGATTAAAGTACTGTATCGGGCCGGTGACTGTTCCAGGAGGCCTCTTTGGCACAAATAATGAGAGAGGTGAATCGAGCCAGGATGTTGTGTTGCTGTGACCTTTTCCCCTGGCTCGGCGTCTTCCTATCTGCACCCTTACTCACTTACCTGGTTGTCTATCGATCTACTTTCGCGGGAAGCTTTCATGACATTTGAGTTTGAAAAGGATAGTTTAAAGAAACTTGAAAATACTTGGGATGTTTACATAAAGAAATGTCATTCAACCAGCAATTGCCTAATATGATCTTGCAACATTGCAAAAAAAAAAAAAAGTTTTTTTTTTTACACTAGTACACGTATTTATTAAAAACAAAAAAAAAACAACTATCAATTTTGTAGTGACCCGCCGCCTTTCAGCAATCAAATCCAATAAATTGTCAAAATAGCCTTTTACCATTTGAAAAGCATATCCAGACTGCTCAAAGCAGACCGTGAGAAACGTATCCGTGCTTTTTAGACTTGGACGGTCTTCTGACCGGACTCACTCAAAAGAGCATCAAACGGCTGCAGCTCATTCAGAATACTGCAGCTCGGGGTCTGACCACAACAAAGAGATCAAGAACGTATTCCTCCAGTCCAAAAGGATTTCCAGTGGCTCCCAGTCAGCTGGAGAATCCATTTTTCTGCTACTGGTCTATAGTGCTGAATACAGCATAGAAATGCTCATTGAATTTAAATCAAGTGGGGCTCTTGAGTCCACAGTTCAAAGCAAACATGGTGAAGTGGCATTTAGCTGTTCTGGGGCACGCAAATACGCACTGAAGACACAGAAGTGGAGTCCGCCCTGCAAAATAAAAAAAAGTTTTTTACGTATTTTTGAACTTCTTCAAATTCTTCAATTTCTTTACTTTTAAATGATTGGATTGGATACAACTTTATTGTCAAACGTGCTGTATGTACAGCACAGATGAAATTTCTTCCCTCTCAACAGAAAACAAAACAAGAAACAAGAGTTTGTCTTCCTTTGATGCCGTCCTTCGTTTGACTAACCCCCCCCCCCTCCAACCTCTTGCTAATTAAATTTCATGGATACGTTCAACATCTTTGACAATTCTACTTTAGCATCAGTGTTGGTGTTTGGAATTGTTGACGTGCTTTCTTTGCCGCGTGAGCCTGAGGTGTTCTGTGGAATTTCCTGGCGTGTAAAACGTGTGCGGAGAAGAATTGAATTGAAGGAAACGTCGCCGCTTGCCTTTTTCCTGTCCGGGGCCCGCCGCCCGTGACGAGAGGAGACGCTCGCTCGACTCGTTCACTTGCCTTCCAACTTGTGCGGACTGGAGAACGTGCGTGCGTGCGCGCAGCATGAGCGGCGGCGGCCAACATGGACGCGCTTCTACTTTTGTGGTTGATGCCGATTTATGGGACGTCTGTTGCTCGTGAGTATTCGATGCATTTTCCTCGTCTTCGTCAAAGGGATCTTTGTTCACTTCCATTTGCTGCCGGGACTGATCAGCAATCAAAGCTGTCTCGTGGACTGCCCATCGAGAATGTTCGATGTTACACGGATTTGTCCAACTCACCGGGGGCCACATTTGACCCGCGGCATCATTTTCAGTGACCGCCGCTGCCGCAAATTGAGCCACGATCGCTCTTACCAAATTGATGTTCTTTTCTTTTGGGCAGAAAATCTGTTGTCATTTTGCTTCCTGTTTGTATTACATGGCTGTTTTTTTCCCACCAAATCCCTCCTGAGAATATTTGTATTTTACTCAATTTGGCTTCAAAAATTGAGATCCAAATAATCAAAAGGCAGGGCAAATTGTGATGACGTAAGATTTAATCAGGCCCTCTTCCACTACGATGAAAACTACTCAGTGTGACAGGCCTGCAAGAGGAACACGGCACGCTTTCAACTCATTATTTTTCCTCATTCTTATATTTGTTATGTTTGTGACTTTTTTAAAATGAGCATGTCATCCCACCTGAATGATTTTGATGTTTTATGAAAATTATTTTTGTTTTTCTTCCATTCAGACCAAAGTTCAACCATCAGTCTTTCCTCAAGGACACAAGAAAGTTCCGAGGTGACAAGGTCAACTTTAGGGTCACCCATTGCGTCAGCATCCCAACACGTGACCTTTGCCCTTTTGTCACTGAGGTCAGGTGGGATGCCTGAGCGCCCAAACATAACTCCGCCTTCGGCCACGTCTGACTGGCAGCAAACATCAAAGACGATCATGTCGGAAACTTCACCTCCAGTCTCGTCCGATTGGCCGCAAATATCAAAAACTGTTCCATCCAAGACCCTGCCGTCAGTCACATCTGACTGGTCGCAAATATCAAAGACAATAACATCCAAGACCCTACCTTCAGACTCCTCTGACTGGCGGCAAACTTCAAAGTCGATAACGTCAAAGACTTCGCTTTCAGCAACGTCTGATTGGCCACAAACATCGAAAACGCTAATGTCAGAGACTTCACCTTTGGTCACGTCTGATTGGCCACAAACATCAAAGAGGATAACGTCGGAGACTTTGCCTCCGGCCGCATCTGATTGGCCACAAACATCTAAAACGATAATGTCAGAGACTCCGCCTCTGGCCGGCTCTGATTGGCCCCAAACATCTAAGACGATAATGTCAGAGACTCCGCCTTCGGCCGGCTCTGATTGGCCACAAACATCTAAAACGATAATGTCAGAGACTCCGCCTCCGGCCGGCTCTGGTTGGCCGCAAACTTCCCGAACGATAATGTCAGAGGCTCCGCTTCCGGCCGCATCTGATTGGCCACAGACGTCAAAGATGATAATGTCAGAGACTCCGTATCCGGCCATGTCCGATTGGACTCAAACGTCAGAGAGGATAACACCAGAGACTCCGCCTTCACCCCCCTCCGAATGGCCGCAAACGTCAAAGACGATAATGTGGGAGTCTCCGTCTCCAGCCGCGTCTGACAGGCCGCGAACGTCAGAGACAATAATGTCAGAGACTCTGCCTTTAGCTGCGTCCGATAGGCCGCAAACATCTGAGACGATAACATCCAAGAATCTCCCTTCAGTCATGTCTGATTGGCCGCAAATTTCAAAGACGACAGCACCGGAGACTCCGTCTCCCGGTGGGTCTGACTGGCCGCAAAACACAACGGCGATAACATCGGAGACTCCGCCACAGGCCGCGTCTGATTGGTCGCAAACGTCAAAGACGCAGCTGCCATCGTTCAGTTTGACTGACAGGCCAGTCGCGACACGTGACCTCACATCAAAGATGGACCGCAGCGTGACGTCAGTGAGCGTCGCCACTCCTGCCGCCCTTCCCACCGGCAGGACGGCCTCGACTCCTCCCGCCGCACTTGCCTCAACTGCTGCCACCACCTCCGCTGTCATAAATGTTGCCATTCATACCAGCGGGCCCACCTCCCTTGCCAGCAGCACGATTGGCTCTACGTCCAGCAACACTGCCGCCACCGCCGTGGCCTCATCTCGTCCTGCCTGGACCTGGCATGCCATCACTTCTGCCTCCCTTGCATTCGGCACTCCCGGCCTTCCTCTGACCTCTAACCCCATCTCCACTCCCACCACCTTGCCGACCTCCGCTCCCGCCCCTGTCCTGTCCACTCCCCCAAATAGGCCTCCAACAACATCAGTAGCCCCGCCCACAACCCCAGCAGGCAATGTGCTGGCAATGGTTGCCATGACAACAAGCAGTCCTTCAGCAACTGAGCCAAAGGTCAACTCGCCTGTAAGTTGAGCAACCTTTCCTTTCCTATCGCCGCATCCTGGCCACTCGCTGGCTAACTCGCCTCTCGACTGATTTTTGTTTTTGGAATCCAACCTCTGTCTCTTGAAAAGCTGACCTATCCTATTTGTCACTTTTGTTGAAAAGTAATTGCTTTGCTGCCATCTCACTATGTTGAAATCAGTTAAGGAGCTTCACTTAGAGTGTGTTGTACTCTGCTGCCACCTCGTGGCATCGATAGGTAATTACACACAGTTTTATTTTCTATTCCCCATCGCAGGCCATCCTGTTTGATGGCTACGACGTACTTGCGATGATGCCCTCTCATGTGGGAAAGGAGAACTTCTGTTGACCCAGAAACACAATGAATGCAGTCGTGTGTGTATGTGTGTGTGTGCGTGTGTGTGTGTGTATGGCCATCGTTCAGTTTGACTGACAGGCCAGTCGCGACACGTGACCTCACATCAAAGATGGACCGCAGCGTGACGTCAGTGAGCGTCGCCACTCCTGCCGCCCTTCCCACCGGCAGGACGGCCTCGACTCCTCCCGCCGCACTTGCCTCAACTGCTGCCACCACCTCCGCTGTCATAAATGTTGCCATTCATACCAGCGGGCCCACCTCCCTTGCCAGCAGCACGATTGGCTCTACGTCCAGCAACACTGCCGCCACCGCCGTGGCCTCATCTCGTCCTGCCTGGACCTGGCATGCCATCACTTCTGCCTCCCTTGCATTCGGCACTCCCGGCCTTCCTCTGACCTCTAACCCCATCTCCACTCCCACCACCTTGCCGACCTCCGCTCCCGCCCCTGTCCTGTCCACTCCCCCAAATAGGCCTCCAACAACATCAGTAGCCCCGCCCACAACCCCAGCAGGCAATGTGCTGGCAATGGTTGCCATGACAACAAGCAGTCCTTCAGCAACTGAGCCAAAGGTCAACTCGCCTGTAAGTTGAGCAACCTTTCCTTTCCTATCGCCGCATCCTGGCCACTCGCTGGCTAACTCGCCTCTCGACTGATTTTTGTTTTTGGAATCCAACCTCTGTCTCTTGAAAAGCTGACCTATCCTATTTGTCACTTTTGTTGAAAAGTAATTGCTTTGCTGCCATCTCACTATGTTGAAATCAGTTAAGGAGCTTCACTTAGAGTGTGTTGTACTCTGCTGCCACCTCGTGGCATCGATAGGTAATTACACACAGTTTTATTTTCTATTCCCCATCGCAGGCCATCCTGTTTGATGGCTACGACGTACTTGCGATGATGCCCTCTCATGTGGGAAAGGAGAACTTCTGTTGACCCAGAAACACAATGAATGCAGTCGTGTGTGTATGTGTGTGTGTGCGTGTGTGTGTGTGTATGTGTGTGTGTGTGTGTGTGTGCGTGTGTGACGTTTCAGAATCGGCCCAGCTGCTTGGTAACCTTCACACAGGTCAAGGTCGGTGTGAATTGGGCGCTGATGACCTTCAACTCGGAACCCTTGTGCGCCAACTTCACGGCAGCTGCGGCGGCCACACTTGGCAACCACCTGAGGGTTAGCGAGTGCCAGCCGGTGGGAGGGGCCGCTCGAAACTTTACCTGCGCCATCACACAACTGCGGGCGGGAACAGCGTACCGTGTCACCATTGCCTCGGCCGTAAACGGACCACCAGCACAAGTGGAGGTGCACACAGGTCAGCGCTCACATCACCCTCAAGTCACCTGACCTTCAAGTCACCTTTGTTGTCACAGTTTAAATCGTCTTTCGGGATTGAATGAAGCTAAGCTGCGAGTCTGTTTTTATAATGTGGGAAGGGTAAGATACTTGAGCTGGGGGACAACATGCGAAGTCCATCCAGGAAAGCCTGAGGCTGGTATGGAACTGGCATCACCTCTGAAGTGCGTCTCAAATGCGCTGACCACGAGGCCGACTTGCGGCTGCTGTCACGGAACGTTGTGCTGACGAATTGGCGACCAGTTAGAAACAATGTTAGCGTAGCGAGCAAACATTTATCGTGGTGGTTGTTGTTGGGCTGTTTCAGTTCCTGATGGGGTGTCGGCGTTGTCCGCCGTCTCGCTTTCTGACGGCAGCGCCTTGCGTCTCGCCTGGATGCCCCCCAGTGGCACCTGGGAGAAGTACAGTGTGTTGTTGCGCAACGGCTCGGCGGTCCTGGTCAACGACAGCATCGGGAAGCTGAGCCGGAGCTACGTGTTTACCGCCAAGGAGCTGGGCCTGGTGCCGGGTCGGGTCTACGGTGCCGAGGTCACAGTGCATAGCGGCACGCTGGCTAACACCGCCTGCTGCCAAGCACAACTGGGTTAGTTTACGTTCAGTTCTGTGACACGCACGAAGCGCGAACATGACCTGTTCTGTTCTGGCGTTGCCGGACGTCCTGTTTCTGAAATATTTTTTGCTCCTCAGCTCCTGGGCTAGTCCAGCAGCTACGCGTCTATCGTGTCGTGGAGACCGCCGTGTACCTCCAGTGGCAGTCGCCGAGGGGCGAGTGGGACGGCTTCAAGGCGGTCATCCGAGGAGATCGGCCCAATTCGCCTGCGGTTCAAAACCTCCTCCCCCGAGAGGCCACCGGGTGTTCCTTCGCCGAGCTCACCTCGGGGCAGCTGTATACTATCACCGTGACCACCACCAGCGGCAACCTGAGCAGCTCCGCTTCTGTCAACACGTGGACCAGTAAGATTTGTTCAACTGACTCTTGGCATCTTTTTGTGTCAAATGTTTCTGCTTCTTAGACTCACTGATGCCGTCGTGCTTGGATGTTTGTCTGTCGAGATGTGCGTTGTGATTGACTGGTAACTAGTGTCCAATGGTCGCGTTGTCCCCCCGCAGCTCCATCTCAGGTGACCGGGCTGCAGGTTCGCAATTTGGGTAGTACCGAAAGCCTCTTGGCTCAGTGGGAGCAGGGCAGCGGGGACGTAGACTTGTACCTCGTCCTGCTTATCCACGAGGGCAGCGTCATCAAGAACCAGAGCATGCCGGCGGATGCCTTCAGTCTGAGTTTCCGTGGCCTCAGGCCCGGCGCCCTCTACAGGGTGGTTGTGACATCAGTCCGAGCGGGACGCCCATCCCGGCAGACGGTGGCTGAGGGACGCACCGGTAACACTGTCACTCTTTGATGACACAAACACAATCGAGATGTTTTCAACTCAGTGTGGATCTACTTGTTCACCCACTTTAGTACCCGCTGCCGTTGGTGAGGTCACCGTCAGTAACAACGGGCGCGTGGACTTCCTTAGCGTGTCGTGGCGTCCTGCTTTGGGGGAGGTGGACAGTTACCTGGTGGCTCTGAGGGACCGAGACAAGACACTTCACACGCTGGTTGTCTCCAAATCCAGTCACCAGTGCGTTTTTAGCTCCCTCGTCTCCGGACGCCTCTACAACATCTCCATCACCACTTGCAGCGGAACCTTCCAGAACTACACCTCCGTCCTGGAGAGGACACGTGAGTGCAGCAAATAGAACGCCGATGAGGCTCTGACAGTGAGTTTGTACTTTGAATGATTGTCATTGCTCAGAGCCTTCGAAGGTCCAGAACCCGACGGCAATACACGGCGCCCGTGACGACTTCCTGAAGGTGTACTGGCGTCCCGCCTCCGGAGACTTTGACTTCTACCACGTTGCCATCAAGCACAACAACGCGGTGCTGCAGAACCAGACGGTGTCCAGGATGCGCAATGAGTGCGTCTTTCACGGCCTGGTCCCCGGACGACTCTACACGGTTGTGGTCGCCACCTGGAGTGGCAACTACGAGGCCAGCGCCTCCACCCACGGTCGCACCTGTGAGTGTCTCGTGTCTTATGCTGCATTTGTAAAACGTTCGATTGAGTGAGAACTCAGCAGACGTTTCGATTCTTTTGTCCAGTCCCGGCGGCGGTACGTTCCCTGCATGTCGCCCGTCGGACCTCCCAGAAGCTTTGGGTGGCATGGACGGCGGCCCCGGGCGATGTGGACCACTATGAGGTGCAGCTGCTGTTCAATGACATGAAGGTGTTCCCTCCGCTCACCCTGGGAGACGGCATGGGCGAGTGCCTGGTGTCCTCTCTCACGCCCGGACGACTCTACAAGGTCTTGGTGTCCACCTTCAGCGGACCCAACCAGAGGACCCAGTTCATCGAGGGCCGTACAGGTCGAACGCACACAACAACGCAATACTGGCTCTATTTTTGTGACTGGGGTAAAGCCAGCACCGGGTCTGGCGTAGTTGTGCGAGAAGTTTATGGCCCGGGATAAGGAAGCGGGCGGTCTGATGGTGGTTTCCCGTTTAGTTCCCAGCCAGGTGAAGAACATCCAAGTGAGTAACGGTGGTGACAGCAGCAGTTTGACCGTGAGCTGGACGGTGGGCCAAGGCGACGTGGACCGATACGCGGTGGTTCTGTACAAACAGAACCACCAGTTGGACACGCGGCCCGTGCTCAGACATCAGAATCAGGTTACGTTCGGCTCGCTTCAGCCGGGTCAGCTGTACGACGTGATGGTTCAGGCGTTCAGCGGCAACCTCTCCAGCAATCAAACGGCCAGCGGACGCACGGGTGAAAATCCGGTCCTTGCGGTCGTGTCGCTTTGGTATCGCTTGCTCTCTGAAGTGGACCGCTCCGTGTGCTCTGCTCAGTCCCGTCGGCGGTAACAGCACTGCGGGTGGAGAACCCAGTCGGTACCGGCAACCTGCAAGTGACCTGGCGGAAAGCCGCGGGCGTGTCGGACGGCTACTTCCTGCAGCTTCTCGATAACAAGCCAGGCGCCGTCCTCGCCAACGCCACGCTGACTGCTGCCCTCACACAACACACGTTTGACGGTCTCAGCCCAGGAAGACAGTACAACGTCCTGGTCCGGACCACCAGCGGGGGAGTCCAAAGCCTCGGGGTCACCGCCAATGCTCGCACACGTAAGACTTCCCGTTTCTGTCAAGCGTGATACGACAAGGCGCGTGTTGACGACACGACCCGCTTCCTGTTCCCGTCAGGTCCGGCAGCCGCCACCCAGCTGTCAATCCAAAGCAACACCAGCACCAGTCTGTCCTTCTGCTGGTCCCGGCCGGCGGGTGACTTGGACTCGTACGACGTGCTCCTGTATGACGCGGATGAGGTTCTGCGGGAACAGCGCCAGCTCGGGCCGTCCAGCCTGGACTGCTCGTTCCGAGGACTCACGCCTGGTTCGGCTTACAAGATGGTGGTCGTCACGTGCAGCGGAGACTTGAGCAACCGCTCCAGCATTTGGGCTGGCACAGGTCAGCGCACGTTCCAGACATATGGCGACCGACACCACAAAGGCATCATCATCATCATCTTCCCCGTCATCGTCGCCATAATCATCACGATCATCGTCGCTGTCATCATCATCATCATCATCATCACCATCTTTATCATCATCATCATCATCGTGCCATCCTGATGTCCCCGATGCCTTGTCTACCGTCAGTCCCGTCCGCCGTCACATCTCTACGCGCCGAGGGCGGCGATGGTTGCGACCAGCTGCGAGTGTTGTGGCAGCGGTGCCAGGGCGGCGTGTCCGGGTACCGGCTTTCGCTGTCCGCCCCTGACGGCTCGCTACGGGCACAGGAGCAGCTGGGGCCGGAGGTCACAGAGTTCATTTTCAGTGGCCTGACGCCGGGTCGACTTTATCGCGTCGATGTCCTGAGCCTCAGCGGAGATCTCGCCAACGCGGCCAGCGTGCACGCGAGGACAGGTCAGAACCCAGACTCACAACCCTTCACAATCATCGGGTGCCAACTGGTGGTAGCTTTGTCAATGTGGGTTTGTGTGGGAGCTCGTGAGGCTGTTTGTGGATTGGAGGTACAAAGTCTGGGAATGTCACGGTTCTGCTTTTTCAAAGGCGACACGGCTTTGCGCCTGGAGGCCGCCTCACTCGGAGCGACTGACTAACCGGGCTGAACTCTCGCACAGTGTGCAGGCTTCGGTTTATTTTTCTGTCCGGCCCATCTCTTGGCCGCTGGTTTTGCCGCCATTCAAAATCTGAACTGCATTGGGGTCAACTATGCCGTGTCGTGCCTCTCAGCTCCCAAACCGCCAAGCTCATTCCTGTTTGGAGGAGTCACCAACACGTCTCTGGAGATCACCTGGACCGCCCCCCCGGACTCCGACTACGATGACTTCGATGTACGCTGGACGCCGCCCGACCGCGGCTCTGTCGTCAACCCGTACGAGAATCGCCGGTCCGGCAGTCGCATCGTGAGAGGGATGTTCCCCGGACGCCTCTACAACTTCAGCTTACGCACCGTCAGCGGAGCCTCGCAGGCGAGGGACGGGGCCCCGCCCTCCTACAGCCTGCCCATCCAGCGCAGCATCCGCACCAGTAGGTGGCGTCACGCACACATCCTTCAAAGTGATCAACGGCGGTTGTGCGCATCCGCAGAATGCCGAGAATCATGAGCATGAAAATACCATAAGATAGCGATGTACCAAAGTGCCACAACGGAATTTTGAGTCGACTGTTTAAGGAGTGTGCTACCAACTTGGTCGCTGCGCTGCCTCAACAGAACCGTCCTTTTGAGTTTCTTCTCGTGATTTGGACGGCTGCCTGTCGCTAAAGACACGAAAGACAGAGACGTGATTGAAGTTTTGAGGATGGAGTTCCTGACTAGCTGCTGTGTTTCTGCAGAGCCGTCCCCCGTTATCGGCCTCCATTGCCGCCCTCAGAGCTCCACCTCCATTTCCTGCTCCTGGGCGCCCCCGGAGGCCGACTTTGACTCCTACACCGTCGAGTGCGTGCACGAGGACTCGCAGAGTCTGGTCTACTCGCGCCGCTCGGGCCGGCGGGCGGACAGGCGCCCGGCCGCATATGTCATCGACCTGCTGGAGCCTCACAAGCGCTACACCGTATGCGTCAAAGTCATCTCGGACACCAGCGCCAGTGAGGCGGCGCGGGACAGCGTGGTCACCATGATCGACCGTAAGTACGCGACGGGTCCGGAGTGGACCGCAGCGTTACTCGCAAACTGTTCAGGTCCCATTTGATAACGTTTGCATGTTCTCCCCGTGCTGATGTGACTTTTCTCCGGGTACTCCGGTTCCTTCCACATTCCAACAACATGCATGGTCGGTCGGTGACACGCTCTCATTGTGGGCGTGTCAACGGACAGTACGTAAGGGTCAAAAGTTGACTTTGTCATGAATAGTCGCCTTGTGTTCAGGACCCCCGGTGCCGCCGGTCAGCATGCGAGTGGACGCCGTGTCGGCGCTGGCCACCGAGTCATCCATCCTGTTCCACTTCAACTGCAGCTGGTTCAGCGACGTCAACGGCGCCGTCAAATTCTTCAGCGTCGTCGTCACAGAGTCCAAAGGCAGGAAACGCGCAGCGTTTTTTGTTCAATTAGCAGGACCCCTCAACCAAATTATCGATGTCGAAACAAAGTGATAACGTTTCAGAGCAATCGTTCCATGTGTGTGTTTGTGTGTGTGTGTCGTGCGTAGGTGAAGACAGCGTTTTGCCCGAGCAGCGCCACCCTCTGCCCTCGTACGCCGACTACATGTCCAACACGTCCATCAAGTCATACCAGACATCTTTGTTCGCCGGCGGCAGCCCCGCTGAAGCCTGCGCTTATGACATCACTGTGGGGGCGGGGTCGGACACCCTGGGCGGGTCATGTGACCACCTGCGCGCACGCCACAACCGCCAGCGACACTTCTGTGACGGACCGCTTAAACCCACAACTGCTTACAGGTGCCCCAAGACGCGGATGCGCATGTCAATAGCATGATGTTGGCATGCATGTCCTCACGCATACACGTCACGAACATTACATTATCTGCACACCCACACCCCCACACCCATGGCAATAATGTGACGCGAAGAGAATGACACGATGACGTGAGAATCCAAAGATGTGAGCGGTCGCTGTGCTTGCTGTGCTTCAGGCTGAGCATTCGAGCGTTCACGCAAGTGTCCGACGGCGTTTCGGCGCCTCTCTACGCCGACACCTTCCTGTCGCTGCCCGTGCGCACCGCAACAGGTGAGGAAAGTTGGGCGACCGCCACGCTCACGACTGACCGCTGAGTCCCGTCCCGTCCCGTCCCGTCCCGTCCCGTCCGCAGACCCTGCCGGCGGCCTCGTGGGAGGAATCAGCGCCGGCGTCTTCGTGATGGTTGCCGTGGCAACGCTGGCGGCGCTCATCCTCTACAGACGAAATGCACGACCAAAAACGTAAGCCTGCGTGCACGTGAGCGCTTGTGTCCGCATGTGCGTGACTTAGTGTGCTGCTTGCTCTCACACTCTCCCGTGTGTGTGTGTGTGTGTGTGTGTGTGTGTGTGTGTGTGTGTGTGTGTGTGTGTGTGCGTTAAAAGTGCCGAGGAGAGCATGGCAGTCAACATGTGTGTGAGGAGCGAGCGAGCTTTGCCAAGAGGTCACCTAGGGGTCAGAGGGTGAGGTCACATGACTCGAAATAGGACACACCGGACAACAAACACACGCACACGCAAATGACATCATACAAGGGCGTCACCAACTCTCGTTTTTCTTCTTCCCATCTCAGGAAGCGCCGTCACATGACAAGGTACCAAAATTACAATCGTCATCATGGTTTGGGGAGTTTTTGGAAATACTGTCGTTGTTTGGGTGGGTTGTAAATCACTCCCCATAGTTTTGAAATACTCCATTTTGGCATTTTTTCAGCCCCATCAACGTGGCCGACTTTGAACGTCACTACAACAAACTCCAGGCCGACGCCCACTTCCTACTTTCGGAGCAGTATGAGGTGACGCTGGCCTTCTTTGCCACCTTCTTCTCCCGCATATTTTCAAAAAAGAAGACGATCCAAAGCAAACCCATGCTCAATACGGATGATCTGATTGTCAGCGATGCGCGATTGTCATCCGGCGCTGAGGTGTTTTTCCACTTCTGAGCCGTCGAATGGCTGATTTCATGTTTTGCGTTACGAGCCAAAATTTGACTGAGCTTCACGTACAGCATCCTTCGAGTCAAGCTGGGGGGGGTTCAAGGGGGTTGCGATTAAGGTGGTGTGGGCAAGGAGAGCTGCAGAAAGCTGCTGTAGGCCACGACTCACATTCAGATGCTCACATCGTGCTCGTTTTTTTTTTCCCCCCCAATTCATTTCAATGGGTAAAATGGAGTGACATGACTTCTGAGCTCGCTGACCCAATCGAACCAAACTCCTAAATCGAAGTTGCCCGGCCTTGTGACCCATTTTCAGAGTTTGAAGGACGTCGGCCGCAACCAGACCAGCGACGCCGCTCTGCTGCCCGAGAACCGCGGCAAGAACCGATACAACAACATTCTACCCTGTGAGGCGCACACACGCACGCACGCTGACGAGCGAGCACACGCGTGTGCATCACGTCCAATTTGTGTTTGCAGATGACTCAACGAGAGTCAAGTTATCGTACGTGGATGACGACCTCTCCTCCGACTACATCAACGCCAGTTACATACCTGTGAGACTCTCTCACTCTCTCTCGCTCTCTCTCACACACACACACACACACTCACAGGACAAGCTTGGCGTGTGGTCGATTGTCGTCACAGGGCAACAATTCCCGCCGCGAGTACATCGCCACCCAGGGTCCGCTGCCGGGAACGAAAGACGATTTCTGGAAAATGGCCTGGGAGCAAAACGCCCGCAACGTGGTCATGCTCACGCAGTGTGTGGAGAAAGGACGCGTGCGTATACCGCACACCGAATAGCGGCAGTCGGACGTCTCGGCCTTGACAAAACCGGCGGACCGTCGGGAGAATTAACCTTGTGTTTGCGCGTGGCCATCAGGTGAAGTGCGACCGCTACTGGCCGGCGGAGCGAGAGCCCCTTTACTACGGCGACCTCATCGTCCACATGACCTCCGAGTCGGTGCTGCCCGAGTGGACCATCCGAGAATTCAACGTGTGCAGCGTAAGGCTTTTAGCCTGTCGTAAGGTCGCGACGAGTGTGTCCCGTGGGGTCAAAACGTGCGCTCGCGTGTGCCCGACAGGAGGACGACGTGCGGCACGTGCGCACGGTTCGCCAATTCCACTTCACCGTGTGGCCCGATCACGGCGTTCCTGACAGCACGCAGTCGCTGGTCCACTTTGTCAGAACCGTCAGAGACTTTGTCAACAGAAGTCCCGCTGGCGGTCCCACCATCGTGCACTGCAGGTACGAGTGACGTGGACGCCGAGCGCCACGCTTCACGCGCTCCGAAGGTAAAGGACGGTCGATGCGCTTGTGTTTCCGTCAGCGCGGGCGTGGGCCGAACGGGCACTTTCGTGGCACTGGACCGGCTCCTGCAGCAGTTGGACACCTCGGACGCGCTGGACGTTTACGGCTGCGTTTGGCAACTCCGCCTGCACCGCTCGCACATGCTGCAGACCGAGGTGCGTCTCGTCTTCGTGACCCGAACGTGAGCCACATTTCCGACGCGTTCTCCTCACGGTGCCGTTCCCGTGTGTGCACGTGCAGCGGCAGTACGCATTTGTGCATCAGTGCATCAGCGACGTGCTTCGAGCGAGGAGCTTGATTGTGTACGAAAACGTCAGCTTGAGCCAGGTCAGTTGGATTTTTTTTTTTTTGTCTCCTTTTACTGTGCTTTTGGTTTTCGCTATTGATTTTGGTTGATGTGTGCTCTTGTTGTTTTCATATTGTTATCTGTGTCCTGTTGTTTTCTGTGGTTTTGTGTTGTCTGTTTCGTGGGTTGTGTTTTGTTTTGGTGTTGTCCTAGGTGTTTTGTGAGTTTGGTTTTTTTTTGCATTGTTTTAAAAATTGCTTCTGGTTTGGGGGTTTGAGTTGTATATTTTCATTGTTGTTTTGCTTATTTGTGAATATTCTGCTGTGTGTCCTCAGACGCTGAGCGGGCGACCTTAAGGTCATAAGACAAGACCCACCAGTGACGTCAGCGAAAGAGAAGTCTGGAGAACAGGCGTATAAATCTGATGTCATCCAATCGATGACATGCGGTTTATATTGCTTGACGTATTTTGGAACTGTGTGCCTGATGATTTTGCACATTGCTGTTAAAAGGTGTACAGTATAGTCATTTACACTGCATGAGCCTATATTATTTTACATTATTGTTGTTAATGTATATTTAGGGTCGGGACAAAATGTTTAAGTTTCGTTCTTTTTTAGCAAATTTGTTGCTTAGAGCACATAAACATACTGTTCATGGTTGTGTATTTCGTGCGCAGAATTCATAATGAATGCATATTAAATGTGCGTAAAGAAGAAGTCTGATATGTGGTCGGACGGCTGCGCATGCGCAGATGGTAGCTAGTAGCTGGTTGGCTAATAGCTTCTTGCTCGGGACTGCTTCACCCGTGGTTGGCTTAGGCGGTGTTTGGCAGGTGAGTGATTGGCTGGCCTGCTGTTGGCTGACTCGTGATTGGCTGGCTGGCTCATGGCTGGCTTTTGACTGGTCGACTCCTGCTTAGTGGAAGTTTTGGGGCAACTTTGAGCCCGACGGTCGAGCTAGCTAGCGAGCTAGCAGGGTAGCAGCGACAGTGGAGAGGCCAGCAAACTTTCTCTTTCTTTTTGTTTTTTCTTTTTTTCATCCCACTTACGGCGTCAACGTCGCGCTCGGTTGGCGGCGAAGCGCCGACGCCTCTCGATGGATTCCAGACGCTTTCCGTCGCTTGAGGTCCGCGAAAGCGAGCGTTAGGAAGACTTTGGGACAAAGTTTTGTGGAGTGTTTTTTTTTTTCCTGGCGGAGGAGGAAAGAGAAAGATGGACGCGGCGGCAGATCTCGTGTAGCAGCGGGGGCTGATTCTGATTCCAATGCTAATGCTAAGGTAACTGGTGCTAATGCTAACGCCGACCGTCCGTCGGAGCTGCTCGGCCGGACGCAGCGCGAGGACTTCCGCCGCCTTTGGAGGGATCCAGTCGGCTTCCAGTTGGTGTCGTCCGGTGAGTTTGCTCGTCTTTCTTTTCCGACGTTCCTTCTTTTTCTCGTTGTTGTGTGCTTGTCGAATTAGCCTGTTAGCCTAGCTCTACGTTAGCCAGAAAGTTAGCCTAGCCGTGCTAACCAAGCAAACTTAATAAGTAGCTGGCATCACAACACAGTCCCCCCCCCAACGAACATCAAACCGACCTCAACGAACTGGTCTCTTGTCACATCTTGCACTCTTTTCAACTTTGTTCGTTATTATTCTTTTGCGGCTTCCGTAAACTACTTTTGTACGTTCGATGCAACGCGAAGGCAAACTGAGGTTAGGTTGTCAGGAAGAACAGGTTTTCATTTCATGTCTTTTTTTTTGTTGTTGTTCAATAAAAAGAGCGAAGATTCAAATGATACTTTTATATCGTGTTTTTCTAAAAGCACTCGTTCAAATGCAAACCGAGCAACATGTTCAAACTTAGGTTTCTCTGCTTTTTATTTTAAACGTCCTAATACATCATCATTGAATATATTCTATTGATTTTAAAAAATACATCCTGTTTGTAGCAGAACAAATCAAGTAAGTATTGGAACCGTAAATTGTTTCTGTCTCATGATAAATCACTGTGAACTCTATTATACTTAATGTTGAGCACTAATTGCGCAAATGCCAATACAGGGGCAACTATTAATCAATTAATCTTCCCCCCACCAAAAAAAAAAAAAATAGAAGGATTAATCCGTGATTGAAATAATTAGTAGTTAATTCCTGAATATTAGCGTGTCTTCATTTGAAAATATATATTTATCATCACATGGCAACCTCCTTGTTTGGATTACACTCAACGTTCTTTAAATTCTTATTCACGAATGGGTGAATTGGATGTCAAACATAAGGCGATACATGTTTATTTACATCTCGCTTTGACAGCAGCTGCGGCAAAGCCGAACGCAACATTTAGCGTAAATTAACATGAATACAGCGGAAGCCGGAACAAAACAGCAGCAACCGCTCCACCCTACGTCTTGTTGTGAGAAGCAGTTTTCAATGAAAGAGGAGAGATATCAAAGTCGCCTTTCCCCAGCGCTTCGGAGGACGTCCTGATCGCAGCACGCATGGCGTCGGTCACGCACGTCTGCTCCAAGCTACGTTTGAAAGTCAACAAGAATCTGTCACATCCATTGACGAATACAGAGATTGATTTTGAGCTCTCCTGTCCCACCCCTTAACCCCCCCAGCACGCACACTTTCTTCTGCTTGTTCAACACATGACGTGATTTCAAGTGGACAGTTGAAAAAAAAAAAGCAAAAAAACAAAAAAAAAAAAACAAACCAATTGGTTTGGCCGGGTACATCCATCAGACAATTGTCAAAAATGATGCTGATTGTTTTCCAAAGTAAGAGTGGATGTTTGCAAATGTTTTATTTTGAAAAAAAAAAATCATCAGTCTGCTGTCGTGAAGAGCGACAGAAACCAAAGAGGATTTACTGTTGAGAGGCTCAAATGGTGAACATTTGAAGTTCAACAAGTAGGCCTCCCTTGTCCCGATAATTACTTTCTCGACTTATCACTCGATAAGTAAAATGAACACAAAATGTATTTTTCTGGACTCGATTTGTGGTCTTTTGTATGCGTGTTTGTTGACAAACGTCAGTAGCGCCGAATTGCTCCCTCTCTTGTCGGTCACCTGACTGGCCACTCGTGGGCTCACGGAAACGCAAGACAGCCGGAACAGCTTTTGAACACGGAACAGTTGACAACAGTTCGGTTGGCCTGTTTCACATGTTCAACACGCCCCTTTTTGTGTTTGTCTTCTGATTTTAATCTGCAGCTGCTTTGATCTTCATCTTTATCCTCATCCTCATCCTTTGCTGTGACAAAGGCTCGCGTGCCGACGATTGCGCCGCTAACCATGGAGGAAGACCTGAGGTAAGTCCTCAAGCGAGCGATGTGGACGGTGATGTCACACGGGTTCGGTATTCTCATGTTGTTTTGCGCACGCAGACGAGCCACGCGGGTGCAGTAAGGCATCATGGGTAGTAGCTGTTCAAGCTGTCCAGACAAAGAGTTGATCGCAGATAATCATCAAAGTAAATTCAAGGTGGGTTCATCTCTTGGGGCTTTAGCCCAACGCGCTGCGCAAATTGTCGACGTGCGCACGCGGAGTCCCTGCTCCCGACGTAACGGAGCGCCCCCCCACGGCCGTCGGCCGGCAGGTGATCAACGTGGACGACGATGGGAACGAGCTGGGCGCCGGCGTGATGGAGCTGACGGACGGCGAGCTGGTCCTGCGCACGCATCGCCGCGACGACGTCAGGTGGCCGTACCTGTGCCTGCGCCGCTATGGTTACGACTCCAACCTCTTCTCCTTTGAGAGCGGCCGCCGCTGTCAGACGGGACAAGGTGACCCGCCGATGCCGTTTGCGCTTCGTCGGCTTCCTCCTCCTCACTCAGGCGTTGCGTGTGCGTGTGATTGTGCGTTTGTGCTTTGAATGCCGTTGGAAGGTTTTGGTTTTGCGTACTCGTCCAGGTTGATCGTATTTTATGATTGAAATGGAAATTTGAGTTCGGTTTAATTCTGTGATTCTTTGACCGATCGCTCGAGGCAGCTCGCGGAGTGCCAGTGCCAGTGGGACCGCGCTTTGCTACTCCAGGGCTTGAACAACTTCCAATTTTTCACTTCTGAACGCTCGCTCGGCATCCACGCTCGTTTGTGTCGTGTGGATGCCCATCCCGTATGTGACAACCGCCCTTGTTGTCTTTGTGTTGTTGTTGTGCGCGTGTGCGACCCAGGCATCTTTGCATTCAAGTGCGCACGGGCCGAGGAAATCTTCAACATGCTGCAGGAAATCATGCACAGTCACAGCATCAGCGTCGTGGAGGAAGCCGTGCTGGACGCCAGCCACCAGGGGGCGGCGCTCTCGCCTGCGGGTAGACGCGCACACGACAGCAAAAACGCCGAAACGATTTGTTGCGGGACGCCGGCTAACACTTGACCGCGTGCTTTTTCAGCCCTGGGATACTCGGTGCCGACGGTGCCTAACGGCGTGTCGCGGCTTCCGTCGGCAGGCGACGTCCCGTCCCACCCGTCCAGCCGCCACCCGTCGGTGGCCAGCACCCGGCTGCCGTCGGTGGGCGAGGAGTCCACGCACCCCCTGCTGGTGGCCGACGAGAGCGTTAGTGCGCCGCGCGCCGCCGCCCCGGCGCCGCCCGATGAGCGCTGCGACTGCTTTCAGGCGCACACGTACGTGAACACGGCGCGTCTGCTGGAGGAGCCGCCCAGCCCGCCGAGCACCGCCCCGCTGCTTGAGAGCCCCACCTCCTCAGAGGCCCAACGCCCCCCCACCCCTCCGCCCCCTCCGCGGGCGGGCGGCAGTACGCCGCCGCCGGAGCCCCGGGTGCTGCTGGAGCCGCAGGGTGCGCGCTTCGTGCTGGGCCCCACGCCGGTCCAGCGCCGGCTGCGGGAGGCGGGAGAGACTCGAGAGAGCAACGGCGAGGTGGCCGATCTGGGCGCGGTGCCCCACTGCCGCCGCCCGACCCCGCTGACCCCTGATCTGCAGAATGTCAACAACTCGGCGCAGCGACGCACGGCACTGCTGGACTACGAGAACCTGCCGGCGCTGCCGCCCGTGTGGGAGGCGCGCAAGTCCAGCTGGGAGGACGAGGAGGGCGGCGGCCTAAAGACGCCGTCGCTCAACGGCTTCAACCCGCACGGCCCGCCCCACTGCTGCCCCCTCCCGCTGTCGGCCGCCCCCGAGCCCTCGCACAACTACGTCAACACGGAGAACGTGACGGCGCCGCTGAGCGCCCACCGGCCCGACACGGCTCGGCGCCGCCCCGACGGGCCCACCGTCTTCAACTTTGACTTCCGCCGGGTGCCGGGCGCGGGCGAGCCGCCCAAGACGCTCAACTACATCGAGGTGGAGACGGACAACGGTGGCGGCAACCGGGGCGCCTCGG